AAGAACATGGAGCTCTACATATGGCATAAAAATATTCTGCATACCAACAGGAAAACACCCCAAAGGTGTTGGCTGGTCATTTTCACATTATTTGGGAGTGTTGGAAATTTGCTACTTACTGGGTGAACGTAGTAACAGAGATAAGGACGATAATGAACCTGGATTGATTTTGATTTTAGGGTTATTTATTTGGGGAATGTGCTTAAAAAATGTGACAGATAATATCAGTGAGTAAAAAAGCAATAACAAGGAAGTGGCTGAGGCAGGAACCACCAACAGTCCCTGATTGGAAAAAAGAAAAATTAGGAAATTAATTATATGGAATGATTGGCCTTCTAAGATAAGCTGCTGAGAAAAATACTTGAAAAACTGCTGGATACTATACCTGAAACAGAAATTAATGGTACAGTATTAGTAATATGAGGGTATGGGTTTAGTGTGCACATGAAAGTGTATGTGTAAAAGAATGTAGGTGTATGTACAGTATATGTATAGAGCGATTGGGTCGCCCCTTTCCCCCCCTCCCTCTCTTTTTCATCCTTGAAAGGATAACATTGTATCACTTAGTTTTTTTTTATTCATTAAGACACTAATTGCAAAAAATTAAAAAATAAAACATCTGTGGAATGTCTCAGACAACAGAATGATTTCAACAGGTGCTTATATAAAAAGTTGGTGTGCGTGGCATCGCTGGTTTAAATCTAGCCAGGGATCTTTGTAATGGGTCCCCCCCTTCAATCTCCACATTCCTCATGTTCCTATCTACACTGTACCATGTTGAAAGCAGTTCTCTGAATAAGTTGGTCATTACGTGAGAGGGAACCAATTGTTGTTTACATGGGGTTGCAAATGCCTAGAAAGTCCTAATACCAACTTTGAACAGGTTCAAAATACCAAGAAAAAACTATTTACTATACAAACGATGTTTCACCAGTGGCCTCTGTCTTACAGGAATTACTTAGCTTCAGAGACTATGAAAGTCACCATCATTATTGGCCCGTGGCATTATTTCTAAATAATTGTGGTGCCCATATTTATTAAGATAAACAACCATACCATCATGAAATTTTTCTAGTCATAATACCAAGTAGTAGGCAGAGGGTGTCATTCCTGTGATTTTTAAACCTTCCTCAACCCTTTGGCACAGACCAAGTTAATTTTATGCACAAGCATTTCCTGAAATTGTTACGCATGTGACATTTCACTTTATTAGAATGTGGGAGATTTACTTTAAAATTTGGTCACGTCGCTAGTTACAAAATAAACCAGAACTAGTGTTCCCTCAGTTCTGTAGCAAAAAAATGCCTTTGCGGCCCTAGTCCAAATATTTATTATTCAGCCCTGGAAAGACTCAACAGCAATTCTTACATTCATAGAATCAGACCAATTGTCATGAAATTTACCAGTACCTTCTTCTGTTACAGGAAAAGAAAAAAAAAAAAAAAAGAACCTTCTTCCCACAGTAATATTTTAAGTTTTGATTCAGCAATTGGATGGAGAATTTCTTCTGTGGAGCAGTAGTTTTGTATGTGGATTGGTGGAAACGGGTGAGAACAGTTAATCAACTACTGAAGTTAAGACAACAGCGACGTCAAACATCACTCCCATCCCGTCACCTGGCAAATGTCTTCAACTCAGGACACAGCTGCCTTGTGCTTCACCAACACCCCATACCAAACATGTCAGAGAGAGGAAAAGGTTGACATGCAGATGTCTGCGTTGAGTATTCCAGATTTGGACTATAAGCGTTTACATCAAACCTTACTCCGCATAAGCTTAATACTGGTCAGTGTTTACATCTCATTAAGGCTCTGACAGAAAAGCATCAACATTTCAATAAACATTGAGCATAAACATCCCTACAATACATTTCAGAGACAAACACCTCAGCCTTGACCTGACAGACAGGACATTACTGTAGGGGTCATAGCCAGATTGCAGAGGACTCAACTGCAAGGTACAAGTTTGAATTAAATAGCAATGATTAAGGTACAAGGACAGGTACAAGAGCCAGTGAAATGTGGTTAGGCTTTTGAGGAGCAGCAGAACCACTGGGAACTCAAAGACTGGATTAATAGTTGTTAAGCATCTGTTTTGTAGCTAGGTGTGGGACAGACCACAAATTCAACAGGAGTTACACTGTGGCTGATGGAACACTGTGCAGAGGCCAAACTACAAAGAAGTGAATGGACACGCAGGTGAATACTGGTTGACAAGGAGTCGAAGCAGGTCTCTCCACAGGGTGAAATCCAAAATGGCAGTTCCAATCTTTCAGTACACTGGAGGCCAGGAGAGACCAAGTATAGTGGATAAGTACAGTAGTAACTTAAAAAAATAAAATAAAGACATCTCTGGTCACAGGCTTTGCTAGATGTAAAAGTGAACAGAAGCACCAAGAACAAGGCAGCTGGCACAGGTAAGAGATTGTACTCCTCCACCATGAGGAAACAAAAGTATGCACAAGCACTAAACACTCTTCAGCTGGCACAAAAAAGGCAGTCCTCTAAGGCCGCATGTAATATATACATGGAGTTCAGTAAAGGTAAGAGGGCTAAACAGAGGGAAGAGGTACAGGCTGCCAGTGTGGATTAATGGTGAGTAAACTGTACAAAAAAAAAAAAAATCAAAAGCAGAGCAAACCTTACAAATCAGGCAAGGGCAATGCAGGCAGGACATCAAACAGGTAGCAATACCTTCCCATTGCCCAAGATGGTTAGAGCCATCAGTCGAGTTGGTGCTGCAGATGGCTGCCATCGGTTCTGTACTGGAAACAAATTCCTTGTGTGTAACATACTTGGCCAATAAAGGTGATTATCCTTATCCAATAGTTCAAGAAACAGGCAGGCAAAGGTCCAAAAACAAGCAGGAAAAACAACATCTGGACAAAACTGCACAGCAACAAGTTCTCAGCAGGCAAGGAAATCAAAAACAGGGCCAGGCCAGGTAACAGGAAGAGGAAGAGGAAGAGGAAATGACTGAACGCCACTGCAGGGCAGCACACAGCAAGCAAAAGAGACTTCAAGAGGAAACAACCAGGAGACCACAAGACAGCACTTTATGCAGCAAGTGTGACAATCTGGAACCCAAATTACACCTGGTGACAGGTTTTATAGGCTAAGTGACACACCACAGGTGAGTTATATCAGCCAGGTGCAGCAGATCAGCCACAATCAGGCACAGCAGCCAGAGAGTGACTCTGAATGCATTGATTAGGATGTTTCTGAGACTCCAGGTACAGACCTGGATGAGCTTACTGACACTGTGACATCTTATATCAGCTTTAGTGAGGACGTGTGCGCCCACTGAAACCTTAGCCACATTCAATGAAATCAAATGTTGGTTTACAGGTAAACTCATGCAGCATCTTCAGACCAGTCAGGAGGTTAACAGAAGTGGGGGCAGGATCCTGTACAGCCAGGCCAGAAACAAGATGGCAAAGGAGATTTGAGTAGCAAAGAGATGCTGCACTGAAAAGCTGACAAATCACCAGCTGCAGGAAACCATCCTTTCACCCTGCAGAGAACCATCTACTGGCTGATGACCTGAATGTGTTTAATGACTTGATAAGTCGCTCCTTATCGGTAAAAGTACAGGTCAAACATCCATCATTATCTATATACCGCTTGTCCTGTAGTGGGTCCTGGGTGGACTGGGGCCAGTCACCGCCAACACTGGGTGAAAGGCGGGTTACACCCTGGGCAGGTTGCCAATCTATCACAAGACTGACACATGCAAACACATAACCATTTACACCTACAGTATGGGCAATGTAGAGTCATTAACCAACCTCACCTGCATATGTTTAGACTGTGGGAGGAAGCTGAAGTACCTGGAGAAAACCCGAGCAGACAAGGGGAGAACATGCAAACTTCACACAGAAAGGCCATATTCTGCTGTGAGGTTCAAACCCAGAGCCTGCTTGCTGTGAGGTGACACCATGAACCACTGGACCACTGTACTGCACAATTAAAACATAAACCATAAAAAACATGCCAAATGTGAAACAATAATGATATCACAAAGATGAAAAGTGTCATGTGTTATATAATGTTTACCCTGCAAGTACGAAGTAATGTCCCTGCCACACCTGCAAATGGATATGCAGGTAATGATGAATGGATGGACACCTGACTCATTCAGTTCTAATAAAATGCTGAGGTTTTCCAAGTATTTTATTATGTTAAACACTAGCAAAAATATTTAAAAATTTCTCTTTACAAAACAGATTACGGTATCAATAGGGTCTTGACCACGTTTTGAGTTTTCTGCATAAATTTGCTTATCTGAAGCATTCATTATCTTTTCCCATTTCAGTGCATGCTTCTCTGTTTTACACAGTCTAAATAGGAAAGTAAACCTTTATCAATAATGATAATCATTTTTAACAAAGTCCCTCCAAAACCAGCACAGTATAAACATCTCAAGAACAGATGTTTCAGTCACTCTGGGGCATACACACAAACCTAACTGGCAAACTGCTTCATACATGAGAGATGAAAAACTACAATATAAACTTACATTTTTAACACAGAATAAACTAAATACCACCAGGTGTGTGTACTGTATTTGGATATGTGATCCAAGATACACTAAGTCAGTTGCAGTGTGTGTGTCTCATTGCCATATTTTACCAGTGTTTACTGTTTAGAGTGTTTACAAAAGTTAAGCCTTCAGCTTCAACTGTAGTTTTCACTAAGTTGGCCACTATTAGGTTGGCACGCATGCACCCACATAGGAGCATACATTGCCACAGGTATGTACGTGCAGAATAGAGATGTGTGGGTTGGTGGTTGTTCATTTATAAGGATAGAAAAGGTACAGTCACTCCCACAATCCAAAAACAGCTGGAGAAACAAGAACTGTCAGTCAGTATAAAACAGTGAGGGGGCTTCACTCTCACTACATGGTGTTTGGCTTTTGTTGTAACACCTGTAACTGTCTGAAGAGGACCCTCAGGGAGAAGAGATTCCTGGACGTCTGCTGAATTTGCTCAAAAAGACATGGTGGACAAGGACTATTTTGTAGAGAGAGAGGTTCTGGATGAGTTACGTCTGAATGAAGTGGCACAAGAAGGGAAATGGATCACTAAACCACCTGTGCGTGAACGGGTAAAAAATTTCTTCAGGTAAGAGAAGAGATGAGATGGCAGAGCTTGGGACGTGTGGCAGGCAAATGAGAGAACACTGTGACACACAATGACACAAACTGAAAGGATACATATGTGTTTGGATGTATTTCTGTATGTGTTAAGTGGCAGGTGGGCCTGTAAAAATGTTTTTGGTTCTGAAGAAGGAGAACTGAAGAAGCTACTCAGGTGACAGGTGAAAACATCTTCCAGAACCTCAATCAAGCCCACCTGCCACCTACAGCACTGTTAGATATACAGTGCCTCTAAAATGTATTCACCCCCCCTGGATGTTTTACCCTTTTACTGATTTTATAAATCACTCATGGTCATTATAATTTGGCTTTTTTGACAAAAAAATTGCAAAAAAATTTCTTTAATGTGAAAGTGAAAACACGTTTCTACAAAGCAATGTCAATTAGATAAAAATATGTAATGGGAAATAACTGACTACATACATATTCATCCCCTTTAAAATGACTGACCTAATTCAACAGAGGTCCAGCCAACTGGCGCTAGTAGCCTCACAATTAGTGAAATGGGGATCACCAGAGTGCAGTGAATGTGTTTCAAGTGATTGCAGTATAAAGACACCTGTGTCTGGAAGGTCCAGTCACTGGTTAATCAGTATTCCTGGCTACATTACACCATGAAGACAAGAGAACACTCCAAGCAACTCAGAGAAAAGGTTATTGAAAAGTACAAGTCTGGGGATGGATACAAAAACATTTCCAAGGTACTGAACGCCCCATGGAGTTCAGTTAAATCCATCATCAAGAAATGGAAGGAATATGGCACATGTTTAAATCTGCCTAGATCAGGCTGTTCTCACATACTGAGTGATGCAATGTGAGTGTGCGAGAAGGAGGCTAGTGAGAGAGGCCACCAAGACATCTATGACTACTCTGAAGGAGTTACAAGCTTCAGTAGCTGAGATGGGGGAGATGCATACAACATACAACGACTGTCGTCTGGGTTCTTCACCAGTCCAAGCTTTATGAGAGAGTGGCAAAGAGAAGCCACTGTTGAAAAAAACTCATATTAAATCTCGACTAGAGGTCGGCAAAAGGCATGTGGGAAACCCCATGGTCAGGTGGAAGAAAGTTCTTTGGTCTGATGAGACCAAAATGATGCTTTTTGGTCAGACAAGACGTTATGTTTGACGCCAAACACTGCACATCACCACAAACACGCCATCCCCATTGTGAAGCACGGTGGTAGCAGCATCATGGTATGGGGATGGGCGTCAGCAGCCGGCCTTGGAAGGCTTGTAAAGGTAGAGGGTAAATGAATGCAGCAAAATCTAGGAAAATCCTGGAGGACGATCTTATTAAGTTTGCAAGAGAACTACTGTTTGGGAGAAGATTTGTTTTCCAGCAAGACAATGGCCTGAAGCATACAGCGAAAGCTATACAAAAATGCTTTAAAGAAAACAAGGTGAGTGTTCTGGAGCGGCCAGGTCAAAGCCCAGACCTCAAGGGCTGCTCATGCCCGGTCCCCACGCAACCCGGCAGAGCTTAAGCGGTTTTGCAAAGAATGGAGTAAATTTGCAGTGTCCAGATGTGCAAGCCTAACAGAGACCTATCCACACAGGCCCAGTGCTGTGACTGCAGCCATCGGTGCATTTACTAAATATTGACTTGATGTGGCAGAATATTTATGCACTCACTTATTTCACATTACATATTTTTATTTAATTGACAATTCTTTTTAGAAACCCATTTTCACTTTGACATTAAAGAGGCTTTTTGTAATATTTTTTTGCCAAAAAAGCCAAATTATATTGACCATGACTGATTTATAAAATCAATAATAGGGGAAAACATCCCAGTGGGTGAACACTTTTTACAGGCAATGTGCTATGACCTGGATGACTGAGAATCTACATGCTTTATGTGTGCGTGTAGATTCTCAGTCATGGCTTTGAATATTTTTTCTATGACTTTGCATGTAGAAACACACTCCTGGCTTTTGTCCAAATTCACAGTAGCTAACGCAAATCTTGAATAAACTGTGTAGAAATCGAATCCAAGCCTACAAGCTTTTTAAAATAGTTTTTAGCTCTTTGGCAATAGAATTGTTGTATATTGCAAATTACTTCCTCTTTCCAGCATCATTAAAAAGCTCAGTTTTAAAGCCCTTCCTTAAAAAGAGAAACCTGGGTGCTTCAAATTTATGTATCTACAGGCCTTTCTCAAATCTCCCCTTCATAAGTACAATTATTCTAAAAGTAGTTTTAATCAAATCAATAACTTCCTGCAAATAAATGACATCCTTGACAAATTTCAATCTGGCTTCTGCACTCAAACTGCTTTTGTAAAGATTATAAATGATATTTGCCTGAAGAATAATTTGGGGAGTATCAGTATTTAAGGATGGGACAGAATTGTAAAATGAAGTACTGTCTCCCCTCAAAGATCGATTCTTGGGTGGGCCCCTTCTATTCAATTTTTTTTAGTTCTCTAAGACTACAGGGTTGCTTATCATAGCTACAATATGCAGATTACACCCAGATGTAGTGTTCTTACCAGAAGACTATGGACCTAGCAGTCTTGTTGTGTCTATGCCTTGAGAAAGTGAACAACTGGATGCAAAAAAAACTTTGTTCAACTACATAAAGGCCGAAATCATTTTTGGCAATAAACAAGGAAGGCCAGCATTCGGTGATTATCTTGAGTCTGGTGCACTAAAGTCTAATAACTATATGTTAAGAATCTTGGTGTAATTATTGATGAGGATTTAAAATTTAATGCCTACATCAAAGCTGTTATAAAATTATCATTCTGGCATCTTAAAAGCATAGCTAAAATGAGAACAAGCAGGCTTTAGAAAAGCTCATTCATATTTTTATTTTGGCTAGACTACTGTAATGCCCTCCTGACTGGCCTCCCCAATGAGACCTTTAGATATATATACAACTCATACAAAATGCTGCTGTTAAAATACAGGGTTCCAGTTAAATAATGTTAATTAATTTAAGGCCCTGCCTATAGTCTGCAAGGTTCTCAATAGTGTGGGGCCAAAGTACAGTATATCAATGATATGTTTGCTGAGTGCAAGCCTGGTAGGTGTCTCAGATCTGCAGGGACTGGTCAGCTAACGGTGCCCAGCCAAACACGATGAAAGTGCTTTTAATTATGATGCTGCCCACAGCTGGAGCCAGCAGTTAGATTTGTCCCAGTTACTGTATTTTAAAGGCTAATCTACATACTGTTCTTTTTTCCAAAGGATTAAATTGTCTCTTTTGTTAAACATGTCTATACTTTACTTTAATTCTTCAGTTCTTTTAATTTTTATTTTATATGTGTAGGTTTTGTGTAAAGCACTTTGAATTGCCTTTGTGTATGAAACTGTGCTATACAAATAAGCTTGCCTTGCCTCCCCAATTCAACACTGAATAATTTGAATGTGAATTTGTGTATGTATGTGGCTTCAGTATTCCATACTCAGTAGAATGAATGGTATGATTTTCTGGGATGGCTGTTACAGGTGTTCGGTGCCCAGGCTGAAGCGCATAGTGGGGAGCTGGGTGCCTATTCTAGGCTGGCTGCCTCAGTACTCACTCAGAGAAAATGCATTTGGGGACCTGTTCTCTGGATTAAGTGTGGCCAGCTTGCATCTACCACAAGGTTTGCATGGTGTAATTTGACTTTTTGGGAAATGCACTTAATCTCATTGTTGCTGGGAGTTGGGTGAGAAAACCGGGGACGCTCTCATTTCTGTATTGACTGGTCTAGGAGTTTCTGGCTGCTTCTAGTCTGATAAACTAAGCTCATTGTCTCCATGCTGTAGCTTCACATTTAATGGACAAACATGAGAGTGGTTTCAATTCTTTTATCTCACTCAACAAAAATAATAACTGTCATTCCAAAACTGTCAAAATTATTTCATAATATAAACATATTAAACATCCACAGAGTGTTAACTTTAGACTGAATTATGTGTTATTTATTCCATCAAATTTGCACTAGATAAAAGACAACACTTTTATTTTATTTGTTTTACCAGGCATGGCATATGCTCCTCTGGCTGCATTACCTGCTGTGTATGGTCTATATACCTCCTTCTTCCCAGTGCTGATCTACACTATCTTCTGTACTTCCAGACACATCTCCATAGGTGAGTACAGTAAGTGTGTGTAGGTGACTGTGGTTGAAAAAGAAAGAAAAACACAATATCATCATTGTAAATCAGATCCTTGTTTGTGTCTGTGTGCATCAATGTATGTGTCTACATGCTCATATTTTACATGTCCAGGTACGTTTTCTGTGGTCAGCATGATGGTTGGAAGTGTGACAGTAAGGCTAGCACCAGACCAGAACTTTCTTGTAAATGGCACTAATGGAACAACTGTGAACAGCGCTGCACGGGATTCTGCCAGAGTACAGATAGCATGTTCCCTCGCACTCTTGACAGGAATCTTTCAGGTGCGTCTCTGTTTGTGGGTATGTTTTGACCAAACTGCGTAACCATTTTAAATCATATTTCCCTAACATTTTTCTCTCTTTTCCATCCTAAGATCCTGCTGGGTATTGTGAGATTTGGATTTGTTGTGACCTATCTGTCTCAGCCACTGATTCGTGCTTACACCACTGCATCAGCATGTCAAGTAGCCAGCAGCCAGCTAAAGTACCTGTTTGGAGTCTCAATCGCTCGATACAGTGGCCCCCTCTCCCTCATTTATGTGAGTTTGTCATGCCTCAGACAATTCACATATGGATACAGACAAGACACTAAATTATTGACTTGAAATGTTTAGGCAAAATTATAACACACAACATAAAATACTCAAAAGTACATATTTGGAATAAGACTTTTACACCTTGATAAGCATTTTAATGATACTTGAACTTGAGTATCATTAAAGCTACAGTTTGTCAAATGTACTTGCTGTTACAGTACATCAATACCGTTCCTGTGTCTGTCTGTTACTGTAAATATGCATCTACAGCCAGCAGCTGGTTAGCTTAGCTTAGCATAAAGAATGGAAAGGTAGCAAAACCTACCTACCAGCACCTGTAAAACTCACTAATGAACACATATACTGTTTGTTTAGTCTGTGAAATGAGTTTGCATGTTCTTCCTGTACTTGTGTGGGTTCTCTCCGGGTTCCAGCTTCCTCCCACAGTCCAAAGACATGTAGCTTAAGTTGACAACTCAAAATTTCCCCTAGGAGTGAGTGTGGGTGTGTGGTAGTTTGTTTCTAATGCTTGTTTAATCTGTAAAATTATTATTCCTCATTTACTTACTTGCTAAAGGCCCAGCACACTCACATGTGTAAGTTTTCATTTACTCTTGTTAGAATACGCTCGACACAAATGTGAACGAGCGGAGAAATTAGTAGACCCAGGCGGCTGGCTTCGGTGCAAGTGGTGATTTTATTTACAGTAACGTAGTGCAATCATATATACAAGGTGAAGGAGTGAATACAACCGGGTGTCGACCAGCAGTGGTAGTAGTTATAGTCCGTGGTGGGATGATGGGCCGGGCTGCAGGGGAGGAATCACTCCTGAGCTGGTCGTGAGTAGATCCGGTAGAACTGAGGAGGTAATGGGTGAGTTCAGTAAAAGGGGAGACTGTGCATCGACCTGTGATGGTGGCTGGTGGAGCTGAGGCTGCCAGGATCCAGAGGAGAGGTCCAAAACAAAATACTGAGAGACGTTAGAATATACAGCATACGAGAAACAACGAGAAATAAGCAACGTATTAATCAAGGAAGGCTGATGACAGAGAAAGAACTAGCAAGGGAGTGAAGGGTGAGCTGAGTTTAAATAAGGAGTGAGACAAAGAGGCGCAGCTGATGGGTGTCAGGAAATCAGGGCAGGTGTGTCTAATCAAGAGAATCAGTGTGAGGGAGCAGACTAGGGCGAGAAAGAGAGAAGAGAGGAAGGTGCAGCCGGGCAAACCTGACAACTCTGGCTGATTAGATCTCTGCCTATGTTGTAATCAGGAGGAACTACGCAGGGAATTATGTGAGATAGCCATGCTATGTAGTATATACTGTATGTAAAACAGGTGCACCATATTGTCAGTCAATACTTTCTACATGATACTGTATGTGTATTAACCATATTTCCAACTTTCTCCTTCTGTTTTTTCCTTCTGTTTTCCTCACAGACTGTGGTGGATGTTTGCCGAATGCTGCCTAAAACTAGGGTGGTAGAGCTGGTGGTGGTCCTGATCGCACTTGCTGTTCTCATTGGGACCAAAAGTATCAATAACCACTTCAAAGACAAGATGATTGTGCCCATCCCTATCGAACTCATACTTGTAAGTCTTCCATTTGGTGTTTCCTCTGTCTTCTCTTTTCCAGTTGTACAAGAGCTGTGCATATTTAGCAGTCCAACAGGGGCCTTCACCACAGTAATCATACTGGACTCTGTGACTGTTGACCTTGTGTACCTTTGCCAAAAGAGGGTTGCAGGTGCTCAGAGCAATAATACAGTGTATCCAAGAACTGACATTCCTTTTGCATTTCTTTTTTTCACCAGGTCATATTAGCAACAGTCATCACCCATTACGCTGGACTTATTGATAAATACGGCGTTACTGTGGTTGGAGCAATTCCCTCTGGGTAAGTTAGGCTGTGGGGAAGGCTGTGGTTGTGGGAAATGTCAGAGGTGAACAGAGTTTCCCAAGATAAAACAGGAATGCTTATTTAAATAGAAAATCGTAATAGCGATTGAGTAATAATAATGTAATATTTACAAAAGCTACTGAGAGCCTTCTTGTGTCTGATTTTAATGTAATATTGTGGTTTGGTCATTTTTGGTAAAAACAAAATGGGATGTTTTTCCATATGATTGTAAAGGTTCGTGTGTTTGGCAGCTGCAGCACATGTGAGCTGTTTCCATAAAATGTAAAACAATAATAACAGAGTGCAGCCTGTAAGTGGAAGACCAGAAATCAGCAAAAGGTCAAATGTGCTGCTGAAGTTTTTTAAGAACTTAAGGAAAAATGTGAGTTGCCTTAATGTCCAGAACTGTTAGTAGAGCTGCTTGTGTCAGGACTCTGCACTGTACAAGGTACCAGATAAAACATGGAACCATTCATCTTTTTCTCCTGCTCCAGCTTCAGGGCCCCTGTCATTCCAGATGCCTCTTACTTCCCATCCATTGCGGGTGATGCTTTTTCTCTGGCTATAGTGAGCTACACCATTAACATTGCACTGGCCAAAACATTTGCCCTCAAGCATGGCTACAAGGTGGACAATAACCAGGTAAGGCATCAACACTTGCCCACACTATGCTACTAAAAAATAAAAAAATAGCTCTGATCCTGTTTGACTCACTGCTAACAGGACCTGCCAACTCTGGAGTAATGTTAGACTCTACTCTCTGCTCATTACACTTGATCATTATGGCAGTGTATTGCTGCCATCATGAGGGCAAAACATACTCTGTAGCTTGTTATAACAAGAAAGCATCTTGTTTTACCAACAAAATATTATCATTTTAAAACAAAGAATTTTGTTAACATGAGAAAATGTAATTTTATTATAACAAGAAAATGAAGAAACTTTCCACACAATGACGAATTAATTTAAATTAATTATAAAAGAAAGGCTGAAATTTCTCAAATTCCAAATATTGGATTTCAAATTAAGTTAAGTTTTAACTGCTTTAGCAGTTATTTTCTAGAAATTGTGTGTTTTTTTTTTGTTTTTTTTTTTATTAAAGTCTGTTCAGTAGCCTACTTTCAAGTTTAATCACGAGTCATGAGTTCACAATCTTAATGTGCAAGTAGGACATAGGCTATACACATCCCTTCCCACATCAGTCCTCCTTCTGTCAGAAACGTCCTCCCTGTTAACAGGAACAGTATCTTGTTAAAATGAAAAAACTTTCCTGTTTTAAAATATACAGAATAAATATTTTTCACTCATTTACCCAACATAAAGCGACTTGTAGTTGCACCCTTTTCCAAGGTTATCTTCAACACAGTGGTGTTCAGCCAGGGGCTTGTGAATCATGTGACAAAGGCTATCCATGATTCTATTCACAGTTGAATAGCATTTCAAATTCATTTGATTACTTGATATGCATTGGTATAAACTGGACCGAAAATATAACTGAAAAGTATCACACTCTTCATCATTGACATTTTATCTTTAGCTTATTCTTTCTGTTCGTACATTGAAATGCACTGTTATCCATTTTCTAGTACATCATATCACTTTATAAAAATTATTTATGTTCCTCTGATAAAGGATGCATAGCCTACAAAGGAAAAACCTCCAATAACCTCTCTTCACAGTTCAGTATTTCACATGCATACATTAACATGGAGAAGCTTTTTGTTTTCAATCTCTTCTATCTCTGGCACAGAGACTTCACACACACACACACACACACAAAGGCGTGTGACTGGGGTCATTCTGCTCTGGTAGTGAGTACTCACAACGTCTAAGAGCTGGCCTGCTAAATCATTAATACCAACAACCTTTAATGCAGTAACATCAATAGCATTGGTCTAAATGTAGATGCACATTTCTTTAAACTGAGATGCTGTATCTCATCTTGCTGTTTCTTTTTTTGTCCAGGAGATGATTGCAGTGGGTCTTAGTAACGGCATTGGCAGCTTTTTTTTTTGTTTCAATGTGTCCTCCTCCCTGGCCCGCAGCCTTGTCCAGGACTCCACAGGGTGCAAAACACAAGTAAATACACACATACAGTAGAATATTTGCACAAATACCACTGATTAAATCTAATTAGCGTATCCAGCTTGAGACCTTTCATTTACAATATGCATGTATCTCTCTCTCTGTGTTTTAACAGGTTACAGGAGTAGTTTCATCCATTGTTATGATGATTGTGATTTTGAAAATAGGTTCTCTTTTTCAAGAGCTCCCCGTGGTAACACTGCCCTTCTTATAGCATTTCTTTATAATGATCATTTTCTCTCCTGGCAGACAGTTTAATAACCAGTTATGTTGTGTGTTTTCCTCAGGCGGTCTTAGCTGCAATAGTATTGGTGAACTTAACATTATTGTTCATGCAGTTCACTGATGTCTATACACTGTGGAAGACCAATAAGATTGATATGGTATGACCACATTCTTTGTATGAGTCATTTAACTCATTTAACTAATGGAAACTAACATCACTGTTGATTCCACTGACTGTCAGTGTTTATATTGTCTTCCAGGTGGTGTGGCTGGTGACATTCGCATGTACCATCCTGCTCAACCTGGACATTGGCCTGGCTGCTGCCGTTGGCTTTTCCTTGTTTGTTTACATCATCAGATCACAACTGTAATTACACACCACTAATTTTAAAGTATTG